ATTCAACACAATCTGCTGCTTTCTTCTTTACATTGTTCTTTTCATGTACAGTGTCCTGAGACAACGCATGTTGTGCTCCCTCGCAATACTTTTGAGTTATCTCGCAATACCTTTGCGAGATAACTCAAAAGTATTGTGAGGGAACACAAAGGTATTGCGAGGGAAAGCAAAGGTATTGTGAAATAACGCAAAGGTATTGCGAGATAACGCAAAAGTATTGTGAGGGAACGCAAAGGCATTGCGAGGTAATGTAAAAATATTGCGAAATAACGCAAAAGTATTGCGAAATAACGCAAAAGTATTGCGAAATAACGCAAAAGTATTGCGAAATAACGCAAAGGTATTGCGAGATAACGCAAAGGTATTGCGAGATAACGCAAAAGTATTGCAAAATAACGCAAAAGTATTGCAAAATAACACAAAGGTATTGCGAGGGAACGCAAAGGTATTGTGAAATAATGCAAAGGTATTGTGAGGGAATGCAAAAGTATTGCGAGGGAACGCAAAAGTATTGCGAGGGAACGCAAAAGAAAAAATCCCCCCATTTCCGCTTGCGGGCTCCATAGGATCCAAATACCAACATACTGTATATTGGTAAATTTACATTTATTTACTAATGTTTGAGGTTAAGCAGTTGCTATGTATAAAACTTTAACCATGTTTTGTAAAAAGAAATGATGTAAATTTGTTTTGATTGTGAATTTAGAGAATTACTTATCACAGGGCTAGATTTGTTAACTAATCTGTTTGCACTCAGGTTGATTTCATGTAGATTAAGTTTTCTTTACATTAGGACAGTTTTATCATCAGAGAGTAAGTGGAAGGGATCACAGGTACAGAACATCACCTGATGGAAGCCCAGGTAGTCCTCGATGGTATGGGAGCAGTAAAATATGGTGCCGTTTGCAGTGATGACCAGGACAATGCCATTCAGAGCCTGTTAGAAAAAAAATAAATCAATACACGAGGTTTTCATTTACACTTGTGGAATAAAAATCTAAATATTTAACACCTTCCTGTCACTGCAGTTGAGGAGATAGATGTAAGAAGAAAAGTACACCATTTGTTATATGTCACAAATAAACATCACCTGGGGCTCTATGTAAAACAGGTGTGTAAGCAACAAAAAGTGATGTATGTGCCTTTCCACACAAAGGTTTGAAATGTGTCAATAATAAAACCACTATGAACCTGTGCAGCTCCACACCAGCTTTGTAACTGCCATACACGTTTCCACTGGTTTTGGTCTTTTGGCTACTCTTAGAGGACATGCTGGGAAACAAAACAATTATTAGACACACCTGAGTGGTATAAAAAGTATTAAGTACTATCTTAACAAAGTCAACAACTCTAATAATGTAGAGTACTGCTGTTGTTTCTACTCCTGAGTTAGTACAGCAGATCACTGAAGCAATCTGTAAAATTGATGGTAAAAGCACAAAACTCGATGCCGATACTTCTTAGGGTTTTTTTTGACAAAAAATAAACACGCCATTCAAAATGGCTGGCCATTTTTTCCAAGATGGCCACCATGCCAACATGTAAAGTAATTATTTGAGCACAGTATTTCACCACTTTAAACTATTTGGATTGCCTTAGTGTTTAAAAATAGGTTTTAAAGGGGCAATATCATGTAAAATCAACTTTTTTTTTAGTTTTATATCATGTTATAATGTTATACTCTCATAAAAARCAGGCCAAAAGCCTTGCTTTGACTCATTCATGCATGTTTGAGAAATCCTGCAGTGTTTTTAGGAAGCCATGAGGAGCAAAACGACAGGTGGGGACCAGAAACGCCTTTTGGGACCAGAAACATCCCTGGGACGTGTCTTTAAGCCGAACTTCCTCATTACGGAGCACACCTTCCCACTCCCCACCCCACACACCCCGCCCATGACTCCTGCAGGCTCTCGGCAGTAACAGAGCAAAGTGAAAGTGAAACTTAAACTGTCTGCTGAGCTCTCAACACCACTTCTCACTGAGTGAAGCTCTTTTCAGTTTCAAAATACATCTGAGGAAATGTGTTTTCAGATGCCAAGTAAACTGCACACCCCCCACCCCCACACATACACCCCCGAACCGAACGGATGGAACAGAAGGAGAAGGTGGTTCTTAAAGAGACAGAGGCCAATTTCAAGGCGTTCAGAAG